CATCAGGAGTGCCACAAGGTAGTCATTTAGGTCTACTTCTGTTTATTTTATTTGTTAATGACCTTCCTCAAGTTATAACATACTCCTCTACACTAATGTACGCTGACGATGCTAAAATCTATCTCTTCTACTCTGATTGGTACCTTCAACTCGACCTAAACGAGTTGCAAATTTGGTGTTCAACAAATTTCCTCTTTCTGAACCTTTCTAAATGCAAACTTACTGACTACAAGGTAGTCATTTAGGTCCACTTCTGTTTATTTTATTTGTTAATGACCTTCCTCAAGTTATAACATACTCCTCTACACTAATGTACGCTGACGATGCTAAAATCTATCTCTCCTACTCTGATTGGTACCTTCAACTCGACCTAAACGAGTTGCAAATTTGGTGTTCAACAAATTTCCTCTTTCTGAACCTTTCTAAATGCAAACTTATGACTTTTTACCGTCGCGCTCCACACTTTGTCTCGTACGCTCTAGGAATTCATGCCCTCGAACGAATTTCGAGTTCTAATGACCTTGGAGTCTTTTCGATCATAAACTGTGTTTTAATAGCCATATAGCTGCAAGTGTAAATAAAGCTAAGGGTGTTCTAGCGTTTATAAAGCGTTGGTCTAAGGAGTATGTCACCAAAACACTGTACGTCTCCTTGGTTCGTCCGATTCTAGAATATTGTTATTGTGTGTGGAGTCCACAGTACAAGGAGCAACAGTCCATTCTCGAGTCGGTCCAAAAACAATTTTTAATTTTTGCCTTACGTAATCTTATCAATCGAGGCTACATCTTTTAGACCTCCCTTCTTTGCGCCATCGCAGAATTTGTAACGGCGTTATGTTTGTACACAAGCTCCTAGTTGGGCTTGTTGACTCAGAAACACTTATTGGCCTGCTTGACTTTTCTGTTCCCCTTAGACCTACTCGTACCTTTCGTCCGTTTCGTTTACCCTTCTGTAGAACTAATTACGCTCAACACGATCCTTTTCGAATCTTATGCTATAATTATAATAATCTTTATCATACCCTATCCCCTGAATTATCCCTTAAAATTATAGCCAGTAAGATATACCTGTTCTTACAATCCACTAATTATACCCGTACTCAAAAAAGAGTTAAGGGGTATATTAGATTTGTGGTAAAAGTGGATGTGTGTAACGCAGAGAAGGAAACGTTTCCGACCCCATAAAGTATATATATTCTTGATCAGCATCAATAGCCGAGTCGATATAGCCATGTCTGTCTGTCTGTCTGTCCGTCTGTTTGTCTGTCCGTCTTGTTGAGCGCCTAGATCTCAGAGACTATAAGAGCTAGGGCAAGCAAATTTCGTTTCCAGACTCATGTGATATCACACTGCTACAAGTGTATTTCAAAATTTTGCCCCACCCCCTTCCGCCCCCACAAAGAACGAAAATCTGTGGCAGGCACATTTTTAAAGATACGATAAAACTAAGAGATACACGGTATCGTAGAGAATGCCCATATCTACCAGATTGCCGAATCTGAATTAGATCGGATCATAATTATAGCCAGAATGAAGAAATTAATTTTCTGTTAGTTCTTCCGCCCCCTCCTGCCAGAGACCCACTACCTATCTCTTTCTCGCTCGCACACTCTGCCGCGTTCAGTGCGCGAGCAGCCCCTAGCGGAGGAGATGTAGAATCTAAATGGTACATGTAGAATCTACATGTAAGATGTAGAAGGAAACGTTTCCGACCCCATAAAGTATAAATATTCTTGATCAGCATCAATAGCCGAGTCGATATAGCCATGTCTGTCTGTCCGTCTATCTGTCTGTCCGTCTGTCTGTCCGTCTTGTTGAGCGCCTAGATCTCAGAGACTATAAACGCTGGGGCAACCAAATTTGGTTTCCAGGCTCATGTGATATCACACTGCTACAAGTGTATTTCAAAATTTCGCCCCGCCCCCTTCCGACCCCACAAAGGACGAAAATCTGTGGCAGGCACATTTTTAAAGATACGATAAAACAAAAACGCAATATCGTTCAGAAAGCCCATATCTACCAGAATGTCGAATCTGAATCTGATCGGATTATAATTATAGCCAAAATGAAAAAATTAATTTTCAGTTGCTTCCTCTGACTTCCCCTGCCAAAGACACGGTACTCATTCCTTTTCTCGCTCGCACACTCTGCGCCTTCAGTGCGCGAACAACCCCTAGCGGAGGAGATGTTAATATGAATGGTACAAGTATATTCTACAATTTAGATGTAAAATATACATTTTAAATGTATATGTAGATAACAGATGTAGCAAACAAATTTAAATGTAAAATTTTTTTTTTTAATTTTAAAATTCAAAAAAATCATAAGCTCAAAAATGTATGTACTGACTGAGTACGGGTATAAGTAAAGTCGCGTCCCCAGAAGCGACTCACACGTTCCTTCTCGTTTTTAATTATTTCCTATACCCACTTTTTTTCCTTTAATTTTAATTATAATTTATGTTAGCAGATAATTGCTAGTCTTCAATAAATAAATAAATATAAACGAAAAAACAAAAAAATAATCAAATTAAGAGTCTTGAATTTAATAAATATTAGTTATAAATTTTACTTAAATCAATTTTACAGTTTGTTTGCAAAATTGTTGTATTTAGTTCCTATAGAAATTTTCTAGTATCTATATTCATATTATTGTTGTTTGTATCTGTAAGAAAATGGGAGATGTCTAGAGAAAGCTTGTTAAGGCTTTTTTCAGCCGTGTTAAGAGCCGTCTCATGTTGTATATTATTTCTGGATGTTGTAACGCTTGTAGCAGCAGCCAGAGTTTTGGTGGCTTGGCCAATGTACGCTCTATCTGTCGTTTAGTATAACTCTTTATTTCTTAATATTTCATTACAATGTCTTGTCGCGTGTCGTCGTAGTTGCTGAAGCTGCTAACTTATCGAGAGTCCGTTGCTGGAGCTGCCATCTCGTCTCGAGGTTGTTGCTGGCCCTGCCAGAGGGCCGCGATCCGGGTTGCCACAGTACTCCCCCTAGAAAAGTGCCAAATCTTTAGGTTTGATTTTTCTTTGCATATGTCCGCGGCACATTCGACTGCTGATCTTCCGTAGGGCTGGTCTCGTCGTTTGCTATAAATGCTGGCTTAAGCCGGTCGATTGAAATGGCTGTCTCCTTTCCATTAATCCGAATCAGGAAAACCCGGTCTGATGACTTGGATATAATCGGGTATGGTCCCGTGTACGGCGGCTCCAAGGGTTGTTTCACCGCATCAGTTTGGACGAAGACATGTGAGCAATTTTGAATGTTTTTAAGCAGGAAGAGTTTATGTGTGCTATGATGCGAAGTTGGAGTTGGCTTCACCCCCTGCATTCTTTTCCGGAACTGACTGGCAAAGTCGAGTGGGTTCGAAGGCGCGTCTAGGTCGTAAAGGAATTCGTTTGGAAGGCGTAGAGTACAACCATATAACATTTCTTCTGCTGATGCCTTAATGTCCTCCTTGAAGCATGTGCGGAGGCCCAGCATGACGGTCGGAAGCAGCTTGGTCCATGGTGTATCCGGTTGGCACATCAAAGAGGCTTTCATAGACCTGTGCCAACGCTCGATCATGCCATTTGACTGGGGGTGGTATGGCGTCGTGTGAATGTGCTCGCTTCCCAGCATATTGGCCAGTGATTTGAAGAGTGCCGACTCGAATTGAGCTCCTTGATCGGTTGTAATAGTCAATGGGCAGCCGAAACGTGAAATCCAGCGCGAACATAGTGCCTCAGAAATGGTCTCTGCAGTCATATCCTTTAATGGCACAGCCTCTGGCCAGCGAGAAAAGCGGTCGATCATTGTCAGGCAATATCTGTATCCGTCAACCAAGGGCATCACGACAATGTCTAGATGTATGTGATCAAACCTTCCATCGGGAACGGTGATCTTTTCTGGGATCACAGCGTTGTGCTTATGAATTTTGGCTCGTTGGCACGGGAGGCAGTCCCTTGACCACTCCAGAACATTTTTGCGCATTGACGGCCACACGTATTTTCGAGAGATTTGTCTTAGAGTTGACCTGCCACTTGGGTGCGACAGTCCGTGTACGTTTGAAAATACATGGAATCGCAAGGACTGGGGAATATATGGCCGAGCTGTTCCTGTTCCCATATCGCAATATAGGATATCATCGTCGACTGGAATCGCTTGTAGATTTAAAGATGTGTCGCCATTTAAAATCTCAGACAGCTCGGTGTCCGTTGCCTGGCCAGTTTCAATAGCTTTTGTGTCCAGAGTCGTCGGCATCGTGATGGCGTTAATCCTGGAGAGGGCATTGGCAACCACGTTATCAGTGCCACTCACATGCAAGATTGTAGTTGCAAGATTCTAGTTGAGTGTTGGGATATGAACCCCAGCTGTCGCAGCTGTCTCTCTGAAGCTTTTTCTGGTTTCTGGTTGAAGGCGTATATCAGCGGCTTGTGATCAGTCTTAATCACAAAAATCCTGGCCTCCAACATGTGTTTGAAATACTTTATAGCCTCGTAAATCGCTAAACGCTCTCTATCATAAGTGCTGTACCTTCTTTCAGTAGCGCTGAGTTTTTTGGAGAAGAAACAAAGAGGCTGCCATTTCCCTTTCGTATTTTGTTCAAGTACCGCTCCAATGGCTGTGTCGGAGGCGTCACAAGTGAGACTTAGTTCTGCATTAAGACTGGGATGAGCGAGGGTTGCGGCGTTAGCTATGTTTTTTTTGCAATTGTCGAATGCTTTAATCGAGCTTGGCGTCAACTGCACTGGTCGTTTGTCATTTTTCTTCATGTTGCGTGTCAAATCGTTGAGTGGCGCCTGGATCTCTGACGCATGAGGTATGCAGCGACGGTAATAGTTAACTATACCAAGAAAGCGACCTAATTCGCAAATAGTTTGTGGCCGAGTGTACTCAGTGATCGCCTTGACTCGATCCTCTGGGGGTTTAATTCCGTTACCGTTAACTGTGTAACTTAAGAACGTCACTTCAGGTTGTGCAAAATGACACTTCTTCTCGTTGATGCAAAGTCCATGCGCTTTTAAGATTTGTAGATTTGTTGTCTGTGCTCCTCCACTGAGTTGGACATTATGAGAATGTCGTCAATGCAGCAAAAGACGTATTCAACCGCTTGGAAGATCTGATCCATGAAACGCTGGAACGTTTGTGTCGCATTTTTCAGTCCAAATGGCATTTTTACGAATTCAATTAGCCCGAAAGGTGTGCATACCGCTGTTTTTTCGATGTCCTCTGGGGCCATCGGTATTTGATAGTATGCTCGTTCGAGGTCTAGTGTAGTGAAAACGCTTTTGCCATATAGTCGGTGGGCAAAATCGTGAATGTGGGGAATCGGGTAACGATCTGGAACGGTGATGGCATTAAGCTTGCGATAGTCGCCGCAAGCCCGCCATCCACCACTGCTTTTTGCTACCATGTGCAACGGGCTGGCCCATGAACTTTTGGAGTATCTGCAGATTTTGTTGTCGATTAGTTGATGTATCTGTGCTTTAGCCACAGATAGTTTCTCTCCCATGAGTCGCCTGGGCCGATCTGCTACGGGTGCTCCAGTTGTTGTTATGTAGTGGCGAACTGAAAGTGAATCGGATGCGTTCATGTTGTCGATGTGTAGGTGCTCGCCTTGCTCCGTTTTATCGTCATTTGGCGAAGCAAAATCCTGCGATATTACGGATATGCTTGTGCCGTTGGTAGGACGTTGTTTCTTGATGTCAACGAGCAAATGGAACTGTGCTAGGAAGTCAGCGCCAATTATTGCCGATTGTACATCAGCGACGACAAATGACCATTTGAAGGAACGATCCAGGTCGAGTTCCAGGTCCTGATGTCCAAAGGTTCGTATGGTAGTCTGGTTCGCGGCATACAATTCCTGTTTACTTTCTCTAAGTTTGCGTTGAGCCATGGCGCAGGGTATAACTGACACCACCGATCCGGAATCGATGAGAAAGGTCCGACTAGTGTTTTGATCTTGGATGTGCAGTCGGTGATCGTGATTCCCGGAGGACATGTCGCTGGTCGTTGAGATGCTACCGCCTACCAGCTGAGTTAGCGGTAGCAGCTTTAGTTTAACTGTTGATAATATCGGCAGTCTGGGCGGCACTTGCGTGCCCGATCACCGAACGTGATGTGGTTGTAGCAAAGGGTTGCATTGTTGACATCATTGTTTGCGCTCGTGCCATTTACTGGCTGAGGAACCTTGGGCTTCTTGGCGGCGTGCATGTCGTGTTGTAGCTTATCCACCTTCTGCGTTAGAATATGCAGAGCAGCAGCAACGTCTTTTAAATTTGGATTGTTGCTACTTACCGCCTCCACGCTGTGCTGCCTTTGCTCAGCGGGCTTGGGTTGAGTCGACATAACACCTATTGAGTCGATAGCGCTGTTTTCGAGCATCTTGTCGGCAATCTTTGCCAGCTTGTCCAGGTCGTTCTCCTCCCAAACCGAAATGAGTGGGCGAATCGACGAAGGTAACTCAGTGAAGAAAAGGTTTCGTATTACGGCTTCGCACCCACTAGCAGGTGCTAAGCGACGCAAGTGAGTCAAGATCTCCGAAGGCTTCTTCCCAGTCATGTCGCCACCCCGGAGGAGTCGTCTCATTTTCGAATCCTCTGATTCGCCGAAAGTTTCGAGCAGCCGACGCTTCATTGCGTCGTACTTGTTGTCAGTAGGTGGCCGAGTAATGAGATCTTCGATTGCACGGGCTGCATCTTCCTCCAGTTGTACTAACACCAGGTCAAACTTGTTGTCCTCGCGTACCACATTGTGTAAACTAAGGAGGCGCTCTAGTTGCGTGAACCAAAGTGTCGGATTCGATTTGTTGAATTTTGGGATGACGATTTGAGCTAAGTTTTGAAAATTTGCAGCTGTTGCCTGTGCGTTTACTAGTTGAAGTTGCTGCAGTTGCTCTCTTAACTCGTTTATTGTGGCCTCCGTGTTCGCCATTTTTATTGCGTCGTAGAACTTGTCGTCATCTGCCGGTTTGCTTTTGGTCGAAGAACGCAAAAAATAGTGCTGATTTTGCATTTGCCGTTGTTTTTTAACGTAGGGGTCACCACTTTGGCGGCTTGGCCAATGTCGCGTGTCGTCGTAGTTGCTGAAGCTGCTAACTTATCGAGAGTCCGTTGCTGGAGCTGCCATCTCGTCTCGAGGTAGTTGCTGGCCCTGCCAGAGAGCCGCCATTCGGGTTGCCACAGAGTGTGCGCGGGTGGCGCTCTCTGTCGGCCAGGGGAAAACAGGTGGCGCCCTCTAGGGCTCAGAGCGAATGATCAGGGCAAGGAATTTTTCGGAGGGAAAGAGAGTAACAGGGACAAATGTCAGGCCTTTCACTCAGTGGCCCTTAACCTTTCCGAGTCCATGAGGTTGGCGCTTGAACGGAAGCGTCTGGCTCGATCTCTTCTTTTTGGTCCCCCAGTCAGTGCGGTTGTGCGGAGTGGAAGAACTCCCGTTTCTATACGCGCATACACACAAGTAAAGTGCAAAGTGGTTTTGGAAAAGGTCCAGAAAGGAGGAGGGTTATTTTCGGGTAGAATTTCGTTGAATTGGTGAGAATAAACAACTAAAGTTTGAAGGCGACAACGTCTAGTTCCATCGCATTCCGACTCCATCGCAGATCTTGGCGCCCGTTAGCCATCGCTGGGCAGAGGCGACGCCGCGAAGAGGTGCCTTTAAATTGGGTACGGAGTTGGCGGATCGCTCCCGCTGTCCAGGAGAAGATCAGCAGAGGAGTCCCGCTCCATCACCTAGGAGGCGGCGGTGAACACACGCAAAGGCTCGGACGAGCCCATTTTTTTGCATCTCCCTTGCGCCTGCCTGTTCGGTTAATACCAGTCGCGCTCGCGATCAGCAGCTATAGGGAATAAGGGAAAAGGGGATCAGCAAAAATTCTAGCAGGCAGAGCTAGCGCTTAGCGGATGGCTAGTTAGTGCCGTGGACGTGCAGTGAGACAGCTGCGTCGGACGACCCTTCGCTATCGGGAACGAGGGAGTCGCGAGAGAGCCCCTTGTGGATCCGGGCGGCGAATCGCCCGAGGCTTATCAGATGACCAAAAATAATTTTATTTATTTTTTGTGATTAGTTCGTATATTTTTTGTTTAAGTTAAAAGAAAATTTATGTTCTAGTTTAACCATTACGTTTGTGTCGCAGCCAGTTAGGCAAGTGTTTGTGCAGTGAGCCATGAGAGCGAGAGGTCAGGGAATGCGCGTTAAAATATTTTTATACCCGTACTGAAAAAAGAGTTAAGGGGTATATTAGATTTGTGGTAAAAGTGGATGTGTATAACGCAGAGAAGGAAACGTTTCCGACCCCATAAAGTATATATATTCTTGATCAGCATCAATAGCCGAGTCGATATAGCCATGTCTGTCTGTCCGTCTGTCTGTCTGTCTGTCTGTCTCGATGAGCGCCTAGATCTCAGAGACTATAAGAGCTAGGGCAACCAAATTTGGTTTCCAGACTCATGTGATATCCCACTGCTACAAGTGTATTTCAAAAGTTCGCCCCGCCCCCTTCCGCCACCACAAAGGACGAAAATCTGTGGCAGGCACATTTTTAAAGATACGATAAAACTAAAAACGCATTATCGTAGAGAATGCCCATATCTACCAGACTGCCGAATCTGAATTAGATCGGATCATAATTATAGCCAGAATGAAGAAATTAATTTTCAGTTGCTTCCCCTTCCCCCTCCTGACGCAATCAAGCAACTCATTTTCCTTCTCGCTCGCACACTCTGCCGCGTTCAGTGCGCGAGCAACCTCTAGCGGAGGAGATGTAGAATCTAATTGGAACATGTACAATCTACATGTTAGATGTAGAATATACATTGTAAATGTGGATAGCAGATGTAGCAAAAAAATGTTAAATGTCAAATTTTTTTTATACCCGTACTCAAAAAAGAGTTAAGGGGTATATTAGATTTGTGGTAAAAGTGGATGTGTGTAACGCAGAGAAGGAAACGTTTCCGACCCCATAAACTATATATATTCTTGATCAGCATCAATAGCCGAGTCGATATAGCCATGTCTGTCTGTCCGTCTGTCTGTCTTGTTGAGCGCCTAGATCTCAGAGACTATAAGAGCTAGGGCAACCAAATTTGGTTTCCAGACTCATGTGATATCCCACTGCTACAAGTGTATTTCAAAATTTCGCCCCGCCCCCTTCCGCCACCACAAAGGACGAAAATCTGTGGCAGGCACATTTTTAAAGATACGATAAAACTAAAAACGCATTATCGTAGAGAATGCCCATATCTACCAGACTGCCGAATCTGAATTAGATCGGATCATAATTATAGCCAGAATGAAGAAATTAATTTTCAGTTGCTTCCCCTTCCCCCTCCTGACGCAATCAAGCAACTCATTTTCCTTCTCGCTCGCACACTCTGCCGCGTTCAGTGCGCGAGCAACCCCTAGCGGAGGAGATGTAGAATCTAATTGGAACATGTACAATCTACATGTTAGATGTAGAATATACATTGTAAATGTGGATAGCAGATGTAGCAAAAAAATGTTAAATGTCAAATTTTTTTTATACCCGTACTCAAATAAGAGTTAAGGGGTATATTAGATTTGTGGTAAAAGTGGATGTGTGTAACGCAGAGAAGGAAACGTTTCCGACCCCATAAAGTATATATATTCTTGATCAGCATCAATAGCCGAGTCGATATAGCCATGTCTGTCTGTCCGTCTGTCTGTCTTGTTGAGCGCCTAGATCTCAGAGACTATAAGAGCTAGGGCAACCAAATTTGGTTTCCAGACTCATGTGATATCCCACTGCTACAAGTGTATTTCAAAATTTCGCCCCGCCCCCTTCCGCCCTAACAAAGGACGAAAATCTGTGGCAGGCACAATTTTAAAGATACGATAAAACTAAAAACGCAGTATCGTAGAGAATGTCCATATCTACCAGACTGCCAAATTTGAATCAGATCGGATCATAAGTATAGCCAGAATGAAGAAATTAATTTTCAGTTGCTTCCCCTCCCCCTCCCGACGACGACATCGCAACTCATTTTCCTTCTCGCTCGCACACTCTGCCGCGTTCAGTGCGCGAGCAACCCCTAGCGGAGGAGATGTAGAATCTAAATGGTACTTGTACAAACTACATGTTAGATGTAGAATAGACATTGTAGATGAGATGTAGATAACAAATGTAGCAAAAAAATGTAATATGTAAAATTTTTTTTATACCCGTACTCAAAAAAGAGTTGAGGGGTATATTAGATTTGTGGTAAAAGTGGATGTGTGTAACGCAGAGAAGGAAACGTTTTCGACCCCATAAAATATATATATTCTTGATCAGCATCAATAGCCGAGTCGATATAGCCATGTCTGTCTGTCCGTCCGTCCGTCTGTCCGTCTGTCCGTCTTGTTGAGCGCCTGGATCTCAGAGACTATAAGAGTTAGGGTGACCAAATTTGGTTTCCAGACTCATGTGATATCACACTGCTACAAGTGTATTTCAAAATTTCGCCCCGCCCCCTTCCGCCCACACAAAGGACGAAAATCTGTGGCAGGCACATTTTTAAAGATACAATCAATCAAACAATCAAAAACGCAGTATCGTAGGGAATGCCCATATCTACCAGATTGCCGAATCTGAATTAGATCGGATCATAAGTATAGCCAGAATGAAGAAATTAATTTTCAGTTGCTTCCCCTCCCCCTCCTGACGCAATCAAGCAACTCATTTTCCTTCTCGCTCGCACACTCTGCCGCGTTCAGTGCGCGAGCAACCCCTAGCGGAGGAGATGTAGAATATGAATGGAACATGTACAATCTACATGTTAGATGTAGAATAGACATTGTATATGTAGATGTAGATAGCAGATGTAGCAAAAAAATGTAATATGTAAAATTTTTTTTTTTTTTCTAAAATTCTAAAAAATCATAAGCTCAATAATGTATATACTGACTGAGTACGGGTATAAGTAGAGTCGTGTCCCCAGAAACGACTCACACGTTCCTTCTCGTTTAATTCTAAAATTCTAAAAAATCATATGCTTAAAAATGTTTATGCTGACTGAGTACGGGTATAAGTAGAGTCGCGTCCCCAGAAGCGACTCGCACGTTCCTTCTCGTTATATCTGTCCCAGTATTTTTCCTCTCTCCCCTTTTCTCCCTGTTAAAGTTTCAGCAGTATGTCGGTGAAAGCGCTTTCTTCGATGGACTCCTGACAAGGGTGAGTGTTTTTTTTTTGGCCACATAAGTCGGCATTTTTTGTATATTGGACAGATGAACATTTATACGCGGATTTAATTGAGTATGCGCCAGCCCATCCTCTGCCATCAAAGTTTACGCGCAGCACTTCTTGCTAGCTATAGAGCACATTCTCAAAAGAAAAAAAAATTCGATTAATTGCCTATTAATTGCGCGTTTAAATATTTATTCATGTTAATTATTTATATTTATTATTATTTGTTCGTATTAGTTCACATTGGTTCAATCTTAGTCCACTCATTACCATTGTAGTTTAAGTATGTCAGTATGTTCAATTTTTCTTTAGAATTTAGTATATATTTTATAATGTTTTAATTTGCTTTTATTTTGCCTTAGCTAGCATTCTCCCCATGTAGACATCCCTAGGCATAAGGGGCCATTCCATCTTTAAGGAAGGCGGCTTGGAATGGCCAAGGTAGGGCGGGCGACACCATCTCAATGACAACAGAGATGTAGGCAAAGCTCCTCGCAGCACAGACTCGAGCTTTCTTCTGTACTTCAGGGATAAATAGTACCTCCTGGTTTAGTTTCATCGTAGCACGCTAGATTAGAGGTAATCTCGTTGATAAACGAAACCCTGGCCACGACTGAAAGTTGATGCAAGAAGCTTAGCCATTGCTTCCTATGAGTTGTCATCGAGTTGGATATACTCGGGTTGATCTTAACCAAAGAAATTCCCAGGCCACGAGTGATAACAGAAGAAGCATTCCCGTTTGTTTGGTGTA